ACAAATATAAAATAAAAAATTAATATAAAATTAATAAACTTTAAATCCTGAAAACTTAATTTATTCTTAATTTTTAATATTTTTTTACAGATATTGCCAATCACAGAAACCAGATATGGATAAATTCGAGCTAATGGAATTCCAATATAAACTTCTTTCCCTGATGGAAATATTGTATACATTTGATTTGGGCGACGAGATAGGGCGTGGAAATTTGCAAAAACTGCTTTCGTATCTTTTAAAAACATTCCGCCTTGATGAAAAGGTTATTGAAGTTGTTGTACGTTGTGCAGAGAATCTTATATCTGATCAAAATGCACGCATACAGGTATGTACTTTCTAGGCATTCGAAAACAGGAGATAATGTTAAACTTTTTCTATATTTAGCTATTTGTGGAGATCATACAAGATATCTGTGGTTTGAACAGTAAACCAAATGATCTTTTGCACGATCGGACATTAATCAGCGAATTATTGGCGAGCTCATCAAATGCAGATCTAAATTTAAAATTATCTTCGCTAAAGGTTAAGCTTCTTGATTTGGAGGAACAAGAAATGAATTTTGTACAACGTAAAGATTACATGCGTGCGCAGCAAATAACCGAGGAGAAATATGCCACCACAGAAGAGTATACGAACTTGTTGCAACCGCTTTTAGATAATCATCCAAATGCAGACATGGTGAGCTATTATGAAAATTAATGTGAAAATTTCTAACACTCTTCCATTACTATTAGCTAAAGCGTCCATTACAGCTGCGTAAAACGACGAAACCGGAAAGCATATTGAAGAGTTTGCAAATAGCCTTCTATATGGTCGTTTCACCTAAAGTGCGCTCACTTAATCCGAGCATTTTAAAACTGTATAATGTAAGTGCTGAAATTGTGAAAAAATTGTACTCCTAAGTATGTGTGTATGTAGTTGTATATATAACGTTTACTTAATGTGTAGGACTTTATTTGTCGTCATCTTGCCTCAAATCAAATTGCAATCCGTGATTGGGCTTTGAAATGTGGTACCGCCTGCAGTATGCTGTACGAGGCGCTAGCAAAAGATGTTTTCGAAGAATTATATGCGCAGTTTTTTAAAAATCACAATATTCGTATTTGGGAGACCTCCATAACGTGTATTTTCGAGCTGCTGGACAGGTAAGCTATCTTAGATTTTATTTATGTTAATGCGCCCCTAATATATATTNACAGAGGGCTACATACACAACAAAATTGCTCACACATTCTTGCAAGAAATGCTGAACAATCTTACCAACAAGGAACTTTGCAAACTGTTGTCTAAAGAGCTGATTACGTTAGAATTAAATGTAACACAGAATGAACAACTAAAGCTTGAATTGAAAGAGTGTGCTGATAAGTTGATAAAGGTAGGATATTTTAGAACTTTGTTACCGCGAAAATTAATTTTAATTAGTTTGATATGTTACGTTTAGGCTGATTTCGATCCTAAGACTGTAAAGCATATAATAGATTTCAAAGATTTAGTTGATGGAAATTATAATCCTGCACGCAAACCTGCAGGCAACGATTCGGAGGGTGAAGAGGTACTTTTAATATTTTGTTTCGATCGTTTTTAGCGTCGAACATAAAATATTTCCATATATTATTTCATTTTTCAGGATAGCAATGATGAAACGGAGAATGATGCGAATAATGACGACGACAATGCCACAGTGACAACGGGGCGCAGTAAAACGTCAGTCGGTGAAGTGGTAGAGGAGCCATCCCAGCAACCCCCACCACAGCCACCTCCTAACGTCGTCATAA